AACATGTCTGTTCAATGAAATCTGTTCAGACCCATTTTATCCAGAAAGTTGTGTCTTTTGGAAAAAATTACAACTTTTCGAAAAATTGTGTCTGTTAGGAAAATAACTACTTTTTGAAAAGTAACGACTTTTCGAAAAGTAACGACTTTTCGGAAAGAGTAACAACTTTTTGGAATGTTACCGTTACTTGCAAATTTATAAGAAATGACTTTTCATTTGCACTTTGCAAATGACTTTTCATTTTCTCTCCAAAGTAGTTCCCTCACTTTTGATATTTTCTCTTTTCTTTTCCCATTCACACTTGCTAAAACCCAACAGTCACTACTATTCTACTTCTATTCTCACCATCTGGGAGAGATAACCTTAAGTCATCTCATGCCATACCATCCCACATATCATCCAAGACAATGAAATACCACTTTCCCAATAAGCTTTTCCGCAACATGTCAGCTAGTTCGCCAACCTCATCTACCTTGACCATGAAACCAGTAACTTGACTGAAAATATCTTGTAATAGCTCTTTCCGATTATATGTTTGAGAAATGATGCACCATGCTCGAACATCAAAATGAGAAACAATGATTTCATTATTATACAATAATCTAGCGCAAGTTGTTTTACCTTGTCCACCCATTCCCACAATTGGTATGACATCTAGCTCATTTGTCCCTCGAGTAAGAGAATGAATCATTTTTTCTGCTACTATCCCAAAACCCACTATATCCTCATCATTCATAAGACTATTATGATGTTGATCTGGCATATGTCTAGATGTCTCAATCATAGAGAAGGGTTTAAGAGGAATGTTCTTAAACCTCATCTTGTTCACCTTCATACTAATATGCTTGATCTCTTTTATGATAGCAGGAAGTGAGCAAAAAATATGCCAAAGACCATTATACTGAACAAGAATAGAGTCAATAACAACTTCAGCTTCATATGCCAAATTGATAGTAGCTCTCAGAATATCATGATGCACCTTTTCAACATCTCTGAAAGTCGAATTTAGATATGAGAGCTCTCTCTTTAAAATAACAATATGAGGTTTTATCATGGAATTTAAACCTGATTCAAGTTTCAACATCTCATTCATTTTTCTCAAAAGAGAGACCAGAAAGCTCAATCCACCAACAGCGGGAAACTGAGATGGAATGAATTTGAAGGATTTGTAGTACCTCTCCACTTGTGCCTTCATATTTTCAGTTTTCTCCAATATCTGTACCGTGAAAAAATTTATCGTGCTACTATCATCTTTAATCATATAGCTGGGAATAATCTTTTGAATTACACATAGAACATCACCCACAAGAACTCCCGCCTTTTCCAAGATCTCATTCAACCTCTTTCCGTTAATAAACCTATTTGGTACATCAGAAAGAAAAATCAATAAGAACTCTATCTCCACATCAATATTTCGAGCATAGACATTATTACAAAAGTTCTCCGTTTTTTTGTTTCTGAGATACATCAGCAGATTGTAGAGATGTTTAGAAAATTCTTTTGGTAATTTCTTGTCCTTGAATGTTCTTAATTGAGTAAACTTTGAAGCCTTTAGTTCACCGTGAAAAATCTTCTTCATTTCCAGCTCTACAAGTGCAATTAAGCAAAACAGATAAGAAGGTCTACTCAAGATATCATCTGTTTCATCTTCATCCTCAACTGGACCTATATAATCATCTGAAGCTCTATTATCTTCGTCGTTAACCCAAACAGCAAAACAGAACAGTGCCACATTGTTAGCCATAAACTGAATTAGAATCTCCAAACATTCCAGCTTCTCATAGTCAATATAACCTCTTATCTCGGTGGCATATAAGTATCTCAAGAATCTCATTTTCTTTTGAAGGATTTTCACTTGCTTTGAAAATCAATTTTTCTGAAGGATTCGTTTTTCATTCTTAAACGAAATGTAAGACCTATCCACGCAGATTGGTACATCATTTAGATTTTTGTCGAGGAAATCCATATATTCCAATAGGTAGGAATCACTAAACTCGTAATTGTATCTTAAACTAGTATTACCTTCAGTGAGTTCCTGCAACTGTGGTACTAGCCTTTCGATATTAAGTTCAGTTTGATATTCATTAGGAATTCCACCAAGAACTGACTGAAACATGAACAAAAAGCCAATAAGCTTCCAAGCCTTTACTCCATTGATGAGGCTTGAAGCTTTTACCAAAGAAGAAGAAGAAGACTGAAGAATGAAATTGTTATTTTTGAAATCATACTCTACACGTGATCTGCATTGCTTATATAGCAATCAGATGATGCAAAACAAAATACAAACTAACTAACTAACTCTACACATTAATCGATGTAACAACCTACTAACTTGAAATTACAATAATAGGCCAAACTAACTACTAACTAACTTCAACTTCTAACTAACTTTTGAATAGTTAGTTGCTGCCATTAACTAACTCATCTTCACTTCTTTTAACACACCCCCTCAAGCTGATGAGTGCATAATATTGATCACTCCAAGCTTGCCTAGAAGATGCACATGTTGAACTTGGTTCAGCCCTTTTGTCAATATGTCTGCGAGTTGTTGATGTGTGTGAACATAGGCAGTGTCAACTTGTCCTGCTTTGATCTTATCTCGTATAAAATGGCAATCTATCTCAATGTGTTTTGTCCGTTCGTGTAACACTGGATTAGCTGCTAGTTGTATGGCTGATTTGCTGTCACTGAAGATTGTAATAGGCAGTTGAACATTCACTCCTAATTCCTTGAACAATCCTAGAAGCCAAGTAATTTCTGAGACTGCTGATGCCATACTTCTGTACTCAGCTTCAGCTGAGCTTCTTGAAACAGTTTGTTGTTTCTTTGATTTCCAAGAAACTAAGGACTCTCCAAACTTAATGACATATCTTGTGATGGATCTTCTTGTGTTAGGATAGGATGCCCAATCAGAATCACACCAACAAGTAATTATGTTGGTAGGTTCAGAGTGTAACCACACACCTTGACCAACTGAACCTTTCAAATATCTAATCACTCTAGTGGCTGCTTCCATATGTGATTTCTTGGGAGATTGCATGAATTGGCTTAAGGTTTGCACTGCATAACTTATGTCTGGCCTGGTGATAGTAGCATATAACAACTTACCAACCAACCTTTGATATGAAGTAATGTCATGCAACACATCACCATTAACATAGCCATTTGCTTGATCATGTTCTACAGAAGTTAATCTCAAATTGGACTCCATTGGTGTAGATGCAGGTTTAGCACCTGTTAATCCAGCTTCAACAATAAGTTCCAGTATATACTTCCTTTGATTCAAAATAATTCCTCCAGAGGATCTTAACACTTCAATGCCTAAGAAAAATTTGAGTTCACCTAGATCTTTCAGTTTGAACTGTTTGTGTAGACATGCCTTAACCTTAGCAATCAGTTATGTGTTACTCCCTGTGATCAATAGATCATCTACATAAACTAGAACAATGACAATATCTTCCTCCTTTTTTAGTGTGAACAGTGAGTAGTCATGAGCACTCTGACTAAAACCTATGGCTTGTAACACCTTTGTAAGCTTCAGGTTTTACTATCTTGAGGCTTGTTTAAGTACATATAAAGACTTTAACAACTTGCAGACTTTATTTACACCTGGCTTTGCAAAACCTTCAGGCATTTTCATATAGACTTCTTCATCTAAATCACCCTGTAAGAAAGCATTATAGACATCCATCTGGTACAATGTCCAGCCCTTTGATACTGCCAATGCAATGACACATCTAACTGTTACCATCTTGGCTACTGGAGAAAAAGTGTCATGATAATCCAATCCTTCTTGTTGACTATATCCCTTTGCTACAAGTCTTGCTTTAAACCTTTCTATCTCACCATTTGCCTTATACTTAACTTTATATATCCACTTGGAACCAACTGCATGCATACCTTCTGGTAGTTCAACTACTTGCCATGTATTATTATCTTCAAGAGCTTTGATTTCCTACTTCATAGCATGTATCCACCTTTCATCTTGTGAAGCTTGATTGAAATTCTTAGGTTCTGTATACTCTGAAAGTTTACTCAGAAAACTTCTACATTCAGGTTTTAACTTCTCATAATTCAGATAGCTAGCCATAGGATGTTTAGTGCTACTATGGCCTTTAGTAATAGCATAATCTTTCATCCACATTCTCCTTGATGCTTCTTGAAGATCTTCAAATATAAAAGTCAACATGTGATGGTACAACATGAGTATTTTCAGCAACTTCCTCTATTGTACTTGGTCTAAACATTTGATCTTCTGAAGAATTCTCAGTCTCATTACTCTGGCTGTCTTCATGAACTATACTAGTGTCTGCCGATTCACTATTATCAATCTCAGCTTCAATAGTTTCATTTTCTGCTTTCTCTAAGAGTGAACCATGTACATCAACCAATAGATCAAGTTGAGGCCTCACTTTAGCAAAAGGAAATGTTTCTTCATGAAATACCACATCTCTATTCACATGAACTTTAGTAGAGTGAATATCCAACAACACATATCCTTTCTGCAATTCTGAGTACCCCAAGAGAATAGTTGCACTAGCTCTGGCTGAAAATTTATCTCCTTTAGGCACTTTTGTAGCATAGCAAAGACAACCTATAACCTTTAGATGAGATAAACTAGGTTGTTTACAATAAAGTAGCTCATAGGCACTTTTGTTGGAATTGACTGATGATGGTAACCTATTCATCAAATAAACTGCAGCCTTAATGCAATAACCCCAAAATCTGATAGGTAGATGAGCCTGAAATCTGATTGCTCTTGCAATATTAAGGATGTGTCTGTGCTTTCTTTCAACCACACCATTTTGTTGTGGTGTGTGAGGGTAACTACTCTGATGTAATATTCCCAGTTGATTGAATAGATCTCTACACTGTGAATTAAGGAATTCTGTGCCATTATCTGATCTCACAACTTTGACATGAGAATTGAACTGAGTTTTGATCATTAAAAGAAAATTTTTGATAGCTACAATGGTTTCTGATTTTAACTGCAACAAATGAACCCATACAAATCTACTATAGTCATCTACTATAGTCAAGAAGTAATGCTTTCTATCTAGAGTAGGAGTCTTATAAGGTCCCCATAGATCCATATGAACAACATCAAACATCATGGATGCTCTAGTAGCACTAATAGGAAAAGCAAGTCTAGTTTGCTTAGCTAAAGGACAAACAGGACAATGAACTGATATTCCATCACCTTTACTGCTTGTATCTATCTTGAGAAGTCTTAATATCTGTTGAGATGGATGCCCTAACCTTTTGTGCCATATTTTTGTGTCTTGTATTACAGCTCCTGCAACTACTATTTCTTGAGCACACCTTATCTCTTCCTTTTGTTTAGATGAAAAAGTAGCCTTAAAACTGTATAACCCTCCTTCTTCTCTACCAATCCCCTTCACCCTGCCACTGCAGAGGTCCTGAAATACACAAAAGTCAGGGTAAAAAGATACAAAACAATTTAGTTCTCTTGTAATCTTTGACACTGACAATAGACTGAACTTGAAATCTGTCACATGTAAAACACTTCTGGCCACTTCATTTTCAAATATAGGTGTTTCACCAATATGACTGACTGTAACCTTGTCACCTGTTGGAAGATGAACTTGATTCATTTGTGACTTTGTTAATTCATGCCTCCTAGTTAGTAACTGCTTATTTGCAATGATATGATGAGTTGCACCTGAATCAACAATCCAATCTTGAACAGCAGGATTTGTTATTAGACAAGTTGTAATACCTGCCATATTGACTTGTTTTGTTTCTTGTACATCTTTGTTTAGCATTTTCGTTATTTGGTTATACTCCTTCTCAATGAATGTTTGTCCCTTTGGCACCTTCTGCATGTTATTGTTTTCCACCTGATTATTTGATACAGCATTAGGATGATCACAGTGATCATTAGAGATGTTATTTGCAGCTTGATATCCTCTTCCATATCCACCATTATTTCCTGAACTTTGTCCTCCATATCCATTAAATTGACTTGTGCCTGTACCATTTCTCATGTTTCCATTCCCATTTCCAAAACCTGGTTTCTTCCTTTGTTTCCAGTCACTTGGATAACCAATCAACTTGTAACAATTATCCTTTGTGTGACCTGAGAAATGACAGTAATCACATTTCTTTCCCTTGTAATGTTCCTTTCCAGCTTCTTGATTCCTGTTAACACTCATCACCATAGAACTTGGTTTCTCAACTACATTATCCATATAACTTGAGTGCTGAATTTCATCTTCTATAATCATAGCATAAGCTTGATTCATAGATGGTGTAGTTCCTTTGAGTAGTATTTGTCTCCTAGCCTGATCATATGATTCATTTAGGCCACTTAGGAATTGAATCAATCTCATCTGTTCCAAATGATTATTATACTCCTTCGACTGAGAACAAGAACTACATGGATTTGGAACTATAGCATCATACTCATTCCATAGTGTTTTCAACTTTAAGAAGTAATGAGATACAGAATTTGTACCTTGTGAGAGAGTGGTGATATCTCTATGTAATTGATAGATCCTTACTCTATTCACCTTGTCGAATCTTTTCTTTAGATCATTCCATACTGAGAAAGCATTTGTGGCATACACAATCCCACTAAGTAGCTCTTCACTGACTGTGTTCATCAGCCAAGACAACACAATAGCATTGCAAGTTTCCCATTGCTCATGCAATTCATCTTTGTACAGGGCTTTTGTGCAATCACCAGTTACAAAACCATATTTCCTCTTCCCTAATAATGCAATTCTCATTGCTCTACTCCAAATTCCATAGTTTTCAGATCCAACCAGCTTGATCGGAACTAACACAGCACTAGAACTATCAGAATTTCCA